CACACAGGGTGAAAGGTTAGATTTGAACCCCCATTGCTGGAAGTAACCAATGCCCCCCCCCCCACCCCCAAACAAAAAAATAATATGAGAATTGAAATTCACAACATGAATAGCCAATACAGTCAAATCCTGTAGTATGATGCAAAGCATGTCTTCATTATTGTTTACCTTGAGAGGCACAGCTGAGGTCACATTAAAGAACCAACAACATAAACCATATCATAAACGTGATGGTGGAAATGAACGCTTAGCATTGCCAGTTTCCCCACCATAATGGAAGGCCTCTGGGTTCTGCAGGATCCTGGCGATCCTTTGGGTCACTGTGTTGGGTCATCCTACCCTAGAACTCTTTCTAAGTTCCATGACGGCATATTTTAATTACAAAACCATAATACTTCAATCAAGCCTAATTAATTAAGAGCTTGCTTGTACTAAAAACCAGCATAGACCGTAAGTGGCAATTACCCAGAACTGGAAGCACAGCTTTCAAATTATTTTCCAGTTTGTCCTTGTGATTTGTAGTTACCAGCAATTATTAGGGAAATAACATTCCTGTTTACATAGCATTAACACATCCTGTGTTTTCTGGTGGCTTCCTTGTTAATGACTTCAGTTAAAATGTAATCAGTGATGAAACATACATTTGTCATTTATTATTAATCGTGCCAACTTTACTCTAGCTGTGATTTAATTGATCCAAGTAAATCACACAGTGAGTGCTAAACAAATCTGTCAGGGTTTATGTCCGCCCCATGGTTCTTGATTCATCAATCATTTTCGCATTATTTTAAAAACATTATCCTGGTGCCTAAAGTAAACATGCTGAGACCAAATGGTTGAAACAGCTGAAGTAATTAAAACGACCCTCCAGAATTACTTGTGCATCCATGGTGCGCCTACGTCCAGACGCCCTCCTACCTGCTCCTACAAGGTTGTCTATTTATTTTGTTTTAAGATTGGGGTCGATGGTCACCAAAGTGTGTAGTGTCTCAGCGCACTTGCACTTCAATGGGGGAAATGGAACGAAGCCTGACTCTTTAGTGAGGAAGTCTCACCATGCCTGTACCAACTTCTGGATTTCTGGCTGCCCCTCCCAACACTAGATTTCTAAACAGCCCCCACAGAACGCAGCCCGACAGGGAGTATCACCGCCAGGTTCGGGAGCTGAACTCTGCGGAAGCGTGAGGCTGAGCAGAGAGTTGTGTACAATTGGACATGGGCTTCCCATCCTCCAAGACATTTACAGCAGACGATACAGGACAGGGCTACAAAGATCATTAAGGACCACAGCCATCCCATAAGGGCCTCTTCTCTGTGCTGAGGTCAGGGAAACACTCCCGCTGCCTGAAGACCAGCACAGGAAGGCTGAGGAAAAGCTATTTTCTACAGGCAATATGGGACCGTAATGAGGACAGTGTTTAGGACAGAGCTGCCCAGCCCTGCTCCTGGAGATGTAGCACCCTGCAGAGCTTAGCTGCCACCCAACACTCCTGATACAGATTATCAAGCCCTTCACTAGCATCTCAGTATTAGAGCCAGCTATGTTGAAGCAAGCTGCGATGCACTGTGTGTTCTGACATCTTTCTATCATAGCCAGCAGTAACTTTTTCAGCAGTTTGTGTTACAGTAGCTCTCCTGTGGGATTAGATCGGATGGGCTACCCTTCACTCTCCCATCAACGGGTCTCCATTTGGCCTTCCTTGGACCACTTTAATTAGGTACTAACCACCGTACACCAGGAACACCCCACAAGTCCTGTTGTATTGGAGTCGTCTAGCCGTCACACTTTGGCCCTTGTTAAAGTCACTCAGATCAATACGTTCATTTTCCCTGCTTCCAACAGACATTCTAGAACTGTCTGTTCACTTACCTGATATATGATGGCACCCTTGACAGGCGCTATTGTAATGAGACAATGTCAGTGTTTACAGCTTTGGGGGGGGGGGGGGGGCAGACGGACACCAACAGGATTCATGGTGTTCATGTGTTTCTTTTAATGACAGCAGCCAGCTGAACTAAACATCAGAACATTTCTTTTTATAACAATTATCCACAAAGTGTGCAGCTTTTGTCGCTGCAGTGTATCTTTCTTGGCTTCTGGAAAAACATTTCTAGAGCTTCTTGACATGGGGAGTCAGAAATGTCTGGCCCATTTACTGAGATCCGCATGCAGGCTGCAAGATGGTCTCCTTGCAGCCTATTGCGGATGTTTGTTTTGACCTGCAAATACATTATCTGTAAGGCTTTAAAAGTGATAGCTGATAGCTTAGTGATAGTGATAGTGATAGTTTAAAGCAGAAAATCCCATTGCGAAACGTATTTATCAACTTGGGAGCGTTTAAAAAACACAGATATTTTTGTCTGCTTTTCATGTGGTTGACGCGACATATTTTCCGATGCGCTCTCTGTCCGCTGGTGGGAGTGTGCTCACCTGTGTGTGCACACGTGTCTGTGTACGCACATCGGGGCAGATCTCCACCATGCGCGATACAGAGAGCAGAGGAGAATTGTAAACGTGCGACCGTGTAGAGAGAAAAATGACAAGTGACTGGGTAAATTAGATAAATAACATAAAGGCTATTTACTTTGTTTAATAAAAGGACAATGTATAGACCTGTTCTATAGGAAAGGTGACCTTAAATGACTTCTGTTGTGATCTGGTGCTATATCATCCTGAGACCCAAGGAGAAAAGTGTCCTTCAATTTTAGATTATTTGTCTTTGGAGGAAATAAGACATCTTACAATTTAGATTTTTTCAAATTTATTTTTATTTTTAATTTCACAGCATGTCCTCTTTAGTGTACAACAGGAATAAATATGTTTCCTTACATCAGTGAAAAGATAGATGCAAACACAAAATGTCCACTACAATGGACATAAATGAATGGGTGGGGTCTCAGTAGGATATAGAAAATAAAATTAAATAAAATTAAGTTGACCTTTAAGGGGGGGGCAGGAGGTGCCATTGGGAGGGCGGGGCGCCCCCCTAATATAATGGAAGGGGAAACACTGAATGTTTTTCACTTCACCTGTCAGTGGTTTTAACATTATTGTTGATCAGTGTATGTAAATATTTATCCTTTGACTCTTGCACTATCTGCCACTTTATAGACAACTGCACTATGGATATTTAGAATTGTTGTTATTGTAGCGTCGAGCAGACCGAGTCATTGCCGCAAATGAGGAGTAGGCTTGCTTGCTGGGAAGAACAGGCTCTTTTATTATAGCCCTATAACAGGTGCCCAACGAGCACCGAACTAAAGGTAATAGGGAAACACAGGGTAGCATGGCTAACTGCTGGTGGGCACTGGTGTGACAGAACCCCCACCCCCCGCTGCCGACCCTTCCTCTTGCGTGCCTTAGGGTCCTCCTGGCCAGGGAACACAACACCCAGCAACTCCCACAGCCAAGCCCCCTTCTCTGGGGACAGCCAGCTCTTGGAGCAGCTAGAGACTGCCAGCCATGCGGCATCCTCCTGGCCCCAGCTCTTCTTTCCCTTCTGCTTGGTGGGTCCAGTTGTGTTGTGTGGCAGCCTGGTTCTGCTGCAGGGTCTCCTGCCCGCAGGGTTGGGTGGCCCTGCACGGCCGCTTGAGCCCCCGCAGGAAGTGAGCGTGTTGTTCTAGCGTGCTGTGGTCCGAAGCTAGCCGGGTCTCCATGGTGCGGCACGTCACCCCCGGGCCAAGCAGTGCCATCTCATGGTCACGTAATGCCGCCCCCGCTTCCTCAACCAGGCACGTCTGATGGTCCTGCTCCCACCACTCATCCGACTCACGGTGCTGGGCCAGCCAGCAGTGGCACGCCTACTCACACGCACGCCTACTCACACTCACGCCTACTCACACTCACGCAGAGCAGCCTCTGCCTGCTGCCTCTGCTCGTCATGCCTGCAGCTGGGGTCGTGCTGCGGCTCTTCGCGGCTGACGAGTGGTTGAGCCCTTGATGGCCAGTGGGTTTGGGGTGAGCTTTCAGGCAAGAGCGTAGCCGGTGCCCCAGCAGACGGGTTTCTCCGTCCGACCCATGTAAACCCCACCGGCGCTACATTATGTTTTTTGTTTACTGCCTAATGTTCTGTCCCTTTATGTCCCCTGTATACCTCTCCCTTATACATTTGTCCCCTGCTCACAGTCTGGAGCTCAGCAATATGCATTTTGCTGCAAACCCAGGTGTGTGTGTGACAAATAAAATTTAGCCACGCTAAGGGATTTATGCCTTTTTCTTGTCCAATTAAAGAGTAGATGAAGAGGCTAAACTGACTAGCAGACCTGTAAAAGACTTGTAATTAACAATAAGTAAAGCGATTAAACCCACATGAAAATGTCTTCTGGTCCCAGTAGTAATTTCAACTGCCACTGAGAGACAAAGAAACCCAGTCTTTGAAGACAGAACTAGTTTTTGCATTTTCTTTAAATATTGTTTACCAGTCACTGGATTGACATAAGCTAAACAACTATGTGTGGACATGTCTCACTAGAAAATGCAAGGCACCCTATTATTATAGGGACCTGGAAAAGGCAGAGAGGGCAGTCAGAGAAATATTTCTGCTGGAAATTTATCTATGGTTCAGACATTACAGTTCCGTGATGAGAATCTTCCCCGTCTGATTGTCTGATTCACGGGCAGTTTTCTGTCATATTTTCATGACCGATAAATGGCAACTAAATAACACAAAATTTCTGTAATTCTGTAATTGTCATTGTCAATAAAAGTGCACAATGGTGGTTCCGTACATTAAATAAGCAGTTACGCCACCATCAACAGAAATTATTTTGTGGTATCGAACGCTCCTTCACAGCACCATGGACAACAGGTCTTAGAGCCCCAGAGTGTATCTGCCGTCACTAGGGTTAACTCTGCATTTCATTCCAGATTCATAGGCACTTTTATCATGGTGTGAAGAGTGTCTAAAATCCTATATGCTGATAGCTTCACCTTGACATGAAGTGTGTCAGATTTATGCCATGACCGGATGGCTCACCAGGAACCTGCCTAACACCCACAGGCCTCATTCCGCACCATGCAGGGCGCCCTGCCCCAACACGTCCTGTGAGGAAGGTTAACAGGACACAGCTGGTGGCTAATAGCTCCAGCCAGGGACCAGGATGGCCTTCTCTAGTGGAACGTAAAACCTTAAAGGTTGGGGAGAGAGTAAAAGGTAAGCAATGTGTGTGTGCTTTCTCTGTCCCCGTGAAAAGCAACCTGAAGGATGTCCACCCTGAGGGGACAGCCGCCTCGTGACAGACACATTCACCTGGACCATGTCCACCCTGAGGGGACAGTCGCCTCCTTACAGACACATTCCCCCCGCAAGATCCATCCTGTCTGGCTGGCAGAAGAGGAGCTTCCCACAGCCCACCGAATTGGAGACCACCGAATTGGATATTGTTTCAACCAACCAGCTGAGCACTCAACTGATTGGTTGAAACAAAATCTTAGCCTGGATTTGTACTTTCTGGACCTGAACTATTTGCCTCTGAACCTGAATTTTGAATACAAATGCAGCTTCCGAAGGCCATGGGAATGTTATATATTGCATCCACGGCTCATTGTCCACAGGAACTAATCAGGATTTCTTTGTATAGCAGTCAGGGCACAAGGACCTTCATTTGCCAGACAACAAGCCATATTTGAGGGTGTTGTGAATAATATGGATATCACATGGAGATCTCTGAATGACCTATGGCTGTTTTTAAATAAAAGATTTTGTAATGAGCCTAATTTGTGGGAGGCTTTGCAGTCGTGCCAGATACAGCCAGCGTTCTCCTTCAGATATAAGATGGGCTGCTGAGGTGGGAGCTGGTGCTGCCCATACTGCTGCTAACTAATGTTTTTGCTATTTTCCCCAGCTTCTTAACCTGTGAATATAAAAGGAATTTTGCATCTTTAGATTTCTGCTTATTTTTATTTTAAATAATTGAATAATTTTTAATTGAAACAATATGCCAAACTGATTGGACCATTAAGGCACTGGGTACATTCTTCAAGGTCATTTTAGAAAGTCAATGCACTTTATGATTAAATCAAGAGTAAACAATCAACCAAAACAGGAATGGTGAGGAACATTCATTATTGCATCCATCCATCCATCCATCCATTTCCTCCACCCGCTTGTTGCCTAAAGATTCACCCCGTACTGTGATGTCTCATATTTTCATTCTTCAGCTGTCCTTTTCCTGGAGATGTTTCACAAACAACACGTCACATTTTTCGGGGAGTACAATCTAAGTGGCGGATGAGCTGATTATGTTACGTGTGACTCTGAGTGCCTTTTAAGTGTATTTTTCTGTCAACACGGTGCAGCGCTTTAAAGCTTTCAGGCTGCTTCAGCGGAGAGTAAGCAACATGAGGGATGTACAAAACAATATATGTGACAGGAGAAGCGATTCTGAAACAGCAAATGTGCAAAGATTTAATTTCAATTACGGCTACATAAGAAGGTCCACATGGAGATGAAAATGGTAATAAAGCTATGAAAGCGCGATCCCATTAGCAACCAAAGTTCAGACAGTCATGCTCTGAAGGACTTCATACTGTCCCAATAGACAAATGACGAATAGGGTCATAGCCTGGATAGATAGTGTTGCCCAGCCTTTTCTTAATTATAATCCCTGTAGGAACATTTGTGGTGCTAAAATCATTATGGGTCGGAACTCATAAATTCTTTTTCTTGAATTCTGTTTCACAGCTGTTTTTAAAAGTAAAATAAATGGCTCTGGGCACGGCGCTTCCTGTTAATTGCATGTCGGATTTGGTCTGCCTGCTTTGGGACCAATCTCCTAGAGCGGGCAAAATCGCCCTGATGAGCGTTTATTGTCCGTATCTGGCTGGTGAGGCAGAAGCCTCTACGTTTCATTATTGCCGTCTCACTGGCTGTTCTCTTGAGGTAGGGGTCATGCAACTTTATTATCAAAGAAATGCATAGCCTGTAAAATGTTTGTTATGAATGTTTTGCAAAAATATCCCTGGTGGTCAGGAATTAATGTGCTCACTGCCATGGTTTGATTCTCAGCTCCGGGAACACAGTGACACTGCTGGTTCTGTGCTCATTGGTCAGGAGGCTGCCAGTTTAAATCTAGTAGCCAGCAGAGTGAGGTCACCAGTGGGCCCTTAACTTACAGGGGTGCTAGAGGCTGTCTGACCCAAAATACAAGGAAACTGGTCCCCATAAGGACAAAAATAGGTATTCATCATTGGTCCCCACAAGGTAAGGTATACCTGGACCCCCCCCCCCACACACACACACACACACACATGCAGCAGAGTTGGATTTAAACTCCAGACAGACATACTAATCAGAAATGAATGACAGATACTTTCATTTACCCTGCTCATAAAAACCTCCTAAAGAAGAAAACACTTCCTAAATGGCTTGTGACCCGTAGACCGAAACGAGGGGCTGAGGTCACACAGTAGCTGGGAAATGTCTCCGGCCAAAAGTGAGTAAAACTGCAGGCGTGACTTTGGCGACCTTAAAGGGCAACAGGGCATGTTAAATTATGAAAATGGCAAGAACATTTCAGTACCATATTTTAAAATGTTTTTGAATCCAAAACGCTTATTTGTTTTTCTCATTGAATTTCTTACAACCAAATGATTCAATCTCAAATTCAGAAATAGGAGAATTTATTTCAAATTTACAAGGTTTACCACATGACATGTAACACCTACATGTCCTTCGATTTAAGAATGCACAACAAATAACAAATAAATTCTTTGGGACTGATGACAATAACTCTGAATCCAATACAAAGGAAATTAGAGAGAACACTGACATAACTGATAAGTAAATGGGAGGTGATCCTGTCCCATGTCACAGGAGATACACTCCAGCATTCACAGACAAGCTTATTTAAAATCGTGTTGACATACTTAAAATACTGACATTTAAATATTTAGGCCATAGCTTCAAAATAATTAGATCATGCACAGTGTTTTTTAATAAAAGGAAAGCATTTTCACAGCGAGTGTGGCTCGCAGTGTAAGCCTAGACAGCAGACTATATACAGGAATGTACGTGTTACAGCCAGCTGGCACCGGGGCTGTTTTAGGGGGGCTTTAGCCCCTTCTCAAATGTTGTCTTGCCCCCCAAATAAATGACCCCCCCTTTCCATAAGCCTGCAGTGGTGCTTCTGCCTGGACATGAGCAGCGGGGGGCGACGTTTGCCCCTTCATCCACGGCTGAGCAGTTCCTGCACTTACGTTATGCTAATAACCACCATCAGTGGAAATTTCAGGGGACGAAATGCGACAAATTACCGTCCACTTGAGGATTAAGCCGCGCGAACAGTAAGACTGATCGTTTTTCTTTAATGATGCGCTGTAATTCTCCGAAGTGTAGGGCTCATTAATTCGATATTCTATTCCCTCTCTTCCAAGTGAGGATGAGAATAATTCAGACAAAGTACTTATTTTACATAAGACTATATACTAATGATCCCCAGCAGAGTTAGACTCCAGCCCATAGACTAAATCACCACAGTTTGACCATCGTCTCCGGCCGGGAATGTAAATCACCCCCAGCTGCACGGGTAAAATGAAAAGTCTGCCTCACCCCGTATCAGGATGTCTGCAGCCCTGGGTTAGTACTCCCCCCCCCCTCCCCCCCCAGATCTGCTGTCCCTATTAGGCAGGAGAGAATAGAAGGCCTGGTGGGGGCCAGGGCTCATGGCGGACTGTCAGTTTTCATGAAGTGCCGGTTTCTCAGCTGGATCCCTGTACGACTCTTTCTGGAAGGATCCCTGACAGCGGCCAGCCATGCAAGTGTCTCTGCCAGACCTGGACTGAGCCATAAAGTTACATTAAAGTGAATAGCACTCAGATTAAAAGCAGAGGTAAACTAGGCTGGCTGTGAGTAAATTACAGCCGTTTTCCTTAACGTTGTGCATTAAATTATCAGGGGGGTGGGGGTGTGCAATCTTGAAAAACTGTATGGGTTAAGATTTAAAACGTCATAAAGGAGGAGTCAGCTTCAGGTTAAATACAAGCATGAAATGTCTGACAAGCCTGAGATCCAGGAAGGGCTGCCTGGTATACCGGGCATTTTTAGATGGCTGGGCTGACGGGTTTGTTAGCTGGCACCACAAAATCCAGGGCTGATTTTTAATTCTGGTCCAGCTCTGCATCCAGGGAGATGCACACATGGTAACACGACGTGATGCTAACAACATCAACCCAGAGCCAAGGCTTGTGCTTCTGTCTTGTTCCAAGGATGCAGGCAAGAGCAAATAATGAGACCCTACTGAAGGAAACCGTGAATTTCATTTGTCCCTTTCCACCCAGTGCCCTGGATACTTTAAGGGCAGAGCTGATCTGCATCGGGAGAATTGCTCTTGGCTGCGGTTGTGAGGAAACAGGAAAGGCTTATCATGGCGTGATGTAGCCTGCATAACAGAGAACATGATGTCCTGTGTAGCGTCCTGTGGCGTCTGTTCTCCTGTTGTTGCCTTCTCTAAATCACTGTCTGAGAGAAGTGTGACTGCATCCTGTTGACAGTTCAGTGAGGAATCCTCCATTATGTGCATGCTGCGGGGGGTGCTCACAAAGGGCCAGTTCCCAGGCCGGTTGCCCTCTATGTGGTGCTTTGCGCTGATTTGGTTCCTGAAATTCCATTTAATGTCATCCATCCACCAAAGGTACCTAGGCTGGCTGAAGGAGTTCCATCCTACCTCTCCTTACAAAGCTGCACGTGGCCCCAGCGAATCAGGAGAGGCAGGGAGCGTGTCCATGGGAACCGTCTTGGAAGGAAACCACCCCTATGGGAGAATGGAACCACCCACCCTCTACAAGGCAGCACCTGAAAAGTGCTTCCGGTACAGAGCGATGTGGGAGCAACTCCCATGCATGATTACTGTTTTATTGGACTACTTATCTCAGTAGGACCCTCAATCTGGCTGAGTAATTTGGAATATTACAAGTCACTTTCTATAATGATGATTCTAAATCCAGAAGTCAAACAACACATGCTAATGGTTTTACTCTCTGGGTAGCCCCGAAGTATGTCAACCGTTAAAATATAGGAAAATGTTACATACATTTTAATTAAACAGTGGCTGTCATCAATAATAGTTACCAACTGGAGTAGTCAGCACCGTACTTAAAGATTGAACTGGTTTCCAGTTCATTTCCCACTACAGCCTGGTTTGTATAAATATCTGTAGAAAATCATAACATTAGGGTTAATAAGATCTGGACAAGCAAAGTAATAAGGTAGTAGGTTCCTTTCATAAACCAGTAATAGTGAGGGGTTAATATTAAGCTAGTTACAGTTTAATTTTTTATTTGATCAAATTGGTATCATTTGGGGTGAGTAGGAAATACAGAGGACACCATGCATCCATCCAATAATGCAGATTCACTATTTACACAAGAAAGACATCAAAATACCAGTCCCATATAACTTGACCAGAGTGATTAAGCTAAAGAAAAACATCCCAGATAAGACAATGATCAGAAAAGTCTTCAGAGGAGACACTGGTAAAAGTCAGCCGCTCATTTCTGCTGAGAACATTGTGTCATGCCAATGTTCTCTGTCTGAAATCTCTCCCACTCACCTCTGCCTGGGACATTTAAAATGTCATTAAAAGCATTAGTCCAAGCCAATGTTACGGTAATGTTCTGTGGGATAGTGTTTGGCTCTGTGGGTTAGGACTCACGATCAGAAGGTCACCAGTTCAAATCCCATGGTTTGCTCAGAGTGATACCCTTAACTAACCTTAAGTGATCCTCACTTGTATGTTACTCTGTACCAAAGCATCTGCCAAATAAATAAAATGTAATAATATTAACCTTGTTTGATAAATTATACATTTACAGTCATTGATGAATAATAGGCATAAGACTGAGATCATAAAAAATGTAGTACTTCAAATAAATTTCCATGATTACCATGACGTAGCATAAACATATAGCTGGGAGCATCAATTAGTTATACACAAATACTTCAGCTATCATAGACAATACGCAGCATCAATATGTTGCATTTTTGTACTGAATCCTTTCTCGCCCCATGTAGAAGTACATACGGAAGAATGAATAAGCAAACACACGCAACTGAACAAATCCTGAATCCCCCCAGACCCACATCAGTGATATGCAGAGACTTTTTGAGGAGCAAGTGTTGGGATAGAGGGGGGTTAGTTGTGAAAGGGTACATTTTGTTGACCAGGGGGCTGGGGGGTCCCTGTTGGTAATTCGGTATGTTTTGCTGACTCAGTTAATTTTGTGTGATCGTCAGTTACCAAAAAGGAACACTTACAACCTCAAATGGGGGGCACTTTCAGACACCCCTCTCCACCCCCTCCCCCCTCTCCACGTGCCTGTGACACATCACCCCAAAGTATCTGGAACACAGCCCCTTGACTTCTCTTCATGGATGCATTAATGTAATACATTCTGTATGAATGTGTCGGACATATTAGACCTCCTCAGATGGATCCTACCTATTACCCACTGCATCTGCTTCTGACTTTCTTCCTCGCTTTTGACATATACCTTTAACATGTACTTCCATTCATTGCTAATAAGGCACCATTCATCATCTGCTTGAAGGCAGAGGCTTATGCGGTTTAGCTGTTGCTAACTTTAGCCGCATCACGTTGTATATAGAAAAGCAGCAACATGCTACATTTCTTTGAAGATCCCCTCCCTGTGTTTCACGGCTCAGTAACTTCTGTTAAACCTATTGGGGGAAAGATGACAGTTTGTCAGGTTTTTTTGAATATTTTTGTCACTTAACGTCTTGCAACACTGTAATTTCAGAAGGCTGATTTCCACCCTCTTCAGACCTTTTTTATTTAAAGATAATTGTAGCCTCTACAGAGCAACACTGACAGGTGAAATAGCAGATAAGCTTAGTTACCCCATCTAAGCGGTGATGATCCACCTCCCACTTCTTCTCCCTGCATAGTAACACTGGGTGGACTTTACAGGCCAACTATGTCTGCACTGATTTTAGATCTTAATCCAAACCCCTGAAGCCACACCCCTTAAGGATACACCCCCCCAAAACATGTCACTGACCATCTGAAGCCACACCCCTTAAGGATACACCCCCCCAAAACATNTCACTGACCATCTGAAGCCACACCCCTTAAGGATACACCCCCCCAAAACATGTCACTGACCATCTGAAGCCACACCCCTTAAGGATACACCCCCCCAAAACATGTGACTGACCATCTGAAGCCACACCCCTTAAGGATACACCCCCACAAAACATGTCACTGACCATCTGAAGCCGCACCCCTTAAAGACACACCCCTGAAGCTACAATCCTTAGGCCACACCCCCAAAAACCTTGTTTTTCTAAAACTTTATCACAGAATGATGCCTCAGTTGAAAGAAGAACGGGCCTCCAATGGTAGTTTTTCCACCACCATGGGAAAATCAGCCAGCGTGGAAGAAGTGTGGAGACGGGGGATGCGGTGGGAGGGAGTGAAGCTGCTCCGACCCTGCCTTAGTCTGCGCGGAGGGAAGACATGGCGTCCCAGGTAGGACCGAAACTTGTCATGGAGGGAGGCATAGATGAAAGGGTTGTAGCAGGCTGAGCTCATAGCCAGCAGGTGGCAGGAGACCTGGATCACATTGATGTGGTTCTTCCCAAGAATGGAGAAGTCGGCATCCAAGTCACGGATGAGGTTCACCACCTGCAGGGGGAGCCAGGAAAAGGCGAAGCAGAGCACCGACACCAGCAGCAGCTGGAACGTTTTGCGTTTTTTGCGGCCCCACTTCGCACGGCTGGAGGCCGCCACTGCTCCGGGCATGCTCCGGCGCCGCAGGTGGTGGGAGATGGCACAGTAGGAGACGGACACGGCCGCTAGGGGCACGAAGTAGGAGAGCAGCAGGACAGCACAGGAGTAGATCAGCCGGCCCCGCTCCTGGCCCTGCCAGAATTCCTCACAGATGGCCATGTGGTGACCCGCCTCGCTCAGGTCGAGATAGCCCGTGTGTAGGGCGGTTGGGACGGAGAGGGCCAGGGCGCAGACCCAAATGCCAACCACTAGGCTCCAGCAGAAGCGGCGGCCCAGTCGGCGCCGGATGGGGTACGCCACCACGACGTAGCGGTCCACAGCAATGGCGGTGAGCGAAAGCACGGCCACGAAGACGGTGGCGGCCTGCATGAGGGTGACGAAGTGACACATGAGGCGGCCAAAGACCCAGCCCCTGAGGTCGAAGGCGTAGGAGGCCGTCAGGGGCACGCAGAAGAGACACATGACCAGGTCGGCAAGCGCCAAGTTGCCGATCAGGAAGTTGGTGGTGCTGTGGAGCTTCTTGTTAAAAACGATGAGGAGGAGCAGCAGAAGATTGCCGCAGCAGGCCACGATCACCAGCATGGCATAAAGAGGGATGAAGAGCGGCTTCAGGTCAAAGAGAAGGTCCAGGCCTGTGAAAGATGAAGAGGAGGAGATCGAGGGCGCGGTGGAGATGTTTTCCCAGGATCCATTTGGAAAGAACCTCTTATCCATCATAACAGAAGGCATTCCTGCAGGCCCAGATGTGAAGCAGTAACTCCTATAAAACAATAAGAAAAAGACAGTTATTATGAAGATCTCACAATCTACACATCTAATTATCAGTATCAGGAGAGGAAGTGAACTCTACCGAGTATAAAGGGTTTTGTCAGTGCTAAAATCATTAAAGAATCACTAAATCAACCGCTGTGGATGCACAAACGTTTTATAGATATCCAGGATCTTAAACTAAATGATTATATATAAACCTGCAGCCATTAAACCATTCCTTATGCATGTTTATAGTGGAAAAAAAAACACAAAATCAGAGATATTCCATTAATTCAGGTGTGCAAGCTCACACTTAAGAAACACAAATTTGTTGCAAACAAATTTCAGCATCCGAAAAGGCCATTGCTTTCAACTCCATTACAATATCCATAAACCGAATCAGAGACACTAATAAAGTCACCGAGGCCATAGGCCATGCCAGTATTACAGCAGATACAGACGATAACTTGGCTCGACTAAATGTCAGCTTTAGTCATGGAGCACTGGAGTGAATCAAAAGTTTTAAGGTTCACATATACTGTATAACACCAGGATCAAACAGGAATATAAATCAAACAATATTGTATTGTATTATTATAATACTGATGTAATATTGCCAAGTATCTCCTCTGGCCCTATTTTATTTTTACAAATTTACAACTGAATGTCCCATTTATTTCTAAATGAATGTATGAAAATTGTCCATATTTGAATGAGTTCAAAACAGTCAAGCCAAATGCCGATCCAAAGCCTTCGTTTGCTTTCTAAACATTTCAGTTGTCCTCATGCTTTCGTGGGAGGCTAATGTTTTGTTGTTCAGTTGTTCATCGAGTTCATTCTTCCTGTCTTTATCATGCTGAACGGTGCCATAGATTTCTTTCAGGGGACATAAAAGCCTCCTCTGTGTCCAGACGGGTCCATCGGTTTCTACAGTGCGATGTTAAAAATAGCAGTGAAACATTTGGAGGTGAGCAGTGTGTGTTCAGCAAATGTTTTCAGGGGATTGATTTTTAAAATGTATTTATCGATTTTGTTTTTTTTCCCCCCCGCCGTAATGAAAGCGGAGTCGCAGTCTGAGAATCTGTCCTGTCCCCCTCTTTCTGTCTCCACTCGACTCTGAAATCTGGTTGACAACTTCAGACGTGACTGTTGAAAAGTGTCCGCCGAACTCAATTATTATGTGTGATGGCATCCAGGTCGCCCTATTTTGAGTGTGTACCTCCATGACACCTACACCTAACAAGAAGGTCACTGCTA